ATGATTTGCCTGGACTACCCCTGATAGACAAATAGAATTCAGAAATGATTTTATATCTAGTGCTGCTCCAATTACCAAAGACTGCTATACAGAACGATAATATTTAGGTAGTAGTCGACCGATTAACTAAGAGTGCACATTTTCTTACCATGCGTGAAACAGATCCAATGGAGAAATACGCACAAGTATACTTGGATGAAACTGTTGCGAGACATGGTGTGCCATTAAAGATTATTTCTAATTGTGATAATCACTTCACTTCTCGCTTTTAGGCGAGTATGTAATGTGAATTGAGATCTCGTGTTGATCTCAGCAACACTTATTAGCCCCAGATAAATGGTCAGACGGAGAGAACAATCCAAACGGTAGAAAATATATACTGAAGGTATATCAAGCATTGTATGGGCGTAAATGTCATACTCCATTATGTCGGCATGATGTAGGACAGAAAGTACTTGGTGGTCCTGAAATGATTCAAGACACCATTGACAAAATTCAAATTGTACGAGAAAGAATGAAAGCGGCCCATGATCGACAAAAGTCCTATGCTGTAAAGAGAAGACGAACTATTCCAGGTGAGTGAATTCGTAATGCTGAAGGAATCCCCATGGAAAAGAATTATGCGTTTTAAGAAGAAAGGAAAGATTTGGTGGATATTCATGATGTATTTCATGTGAGTTATCTGCGTAAATGTTTGAGTATATATGATGAAACGGTTCTGTTATCCGAGGTGAAACGGGATAAAAAGAAGAGCCCAAAGAGATCATAAATGAAAAAACGACGAAATTGCGTAGTAAAGAAGTAGAGTTAGTACTTGTCAAGTGGAAACACCAACAAGGCCCAAATTATACTTGGAAAAAATAAGAATGAGTTGAGAACGAAATATCCCCATTTGTTTAAATCGTTGTGATTTCGGAGACGAAATCCTCAAAAGAAGAAGGTATTTGTAACATACATGTTCAGTTATCGTGTTATGTAATTTTAAAAATGAATAATATAATAAAATTATTATGTAATTTTGAGCGTTGAGTTCTATCTATATAGTTTTTCCTATAAATAAAGTAAATCTATGTTTAGAATCACTCGGATAATATTGAAAGTCTTATGAGATTTCAATCTAATGTCAAATATTGAAATCTAACAAAAATATAAAATTTAAAATAAGTAAAATTTTATTACTGAAATTTGTAAAGAATCTCGTTACAAACATTTAGGCGAAAACCTCATCGAAATCCGAGTAATAACGAAGAAGTTATGATTATTTGAAGTTTCGCGACAGAACCGGCACGACACCGTATGACGTAAAAAGTGAGTTTACGATAAACTATTTTTTAGCCTATATGATCTAAATGAAAGTTGTAGTATTCGTTAAACCGAGAACTTTCATAAACAGAACGTCAAAATCTGACTTCGTATGAGGAAGTTATGATTTTTCTAAGTTTCAGTATAGCAGTAGACAACTAAAAACTCGAAATAAAGATTGAGTGATTTTTAGCCGATGTAACCTAAATGAGAATCGAAGGTCTCGTCAATAGTAGTACAACAGTAAAAAGACAGATGAAAACGGAGATTGGATAAAGAAGTTATAAATTTTTTAACGGTCTTATCCTGTCCAGGCCTATTAAAAATATAATAATAAAAATAAATTCAATATTAGCTGATGGAGTCTAAACGAAAGTTGTAGAGCATAATCTCACCTACGCGTGGATATAAAGAACATCAAAAACGGAGTTCGTATGCAAAAGATACAAATTTTTAAAGTTTGGAAATTCGGAGTACGCCCAACGTACTCGTGTTCACGGTCTGAGATTGGCCACATCGCCTATTCCTCGCAATCAACACGTATCACGCAAGTTTGACACGTCCGATTCCACTCATCAGAGTACGCCTAACGTACTAAGTTGTACGCCCAGCGTAATGGCAAATAGAGTAGTACGCCCAACGTACTAAGTTGTACGCCCAACGTAGTGGTTGTTAGAGCAATGCACCCAGCGTACTCATAATTTACGCCCAGCGTAATGGGTGTTTCTGCCACTATAAATAGAAAACAAAGCCTTTTGGGTTTTTTTAGAAAATCTATTCCCTCTCACTCTCTACTCTCTTTTAAGCTACTTTTAACCCCCGAAGTCCTGGTATCATCCCCGGCACCCGAAGCAAGATGAAACGCTCCAAAGTTCCCAAGAAAAGCATATTTTCAAGTCGAAACTCTGCCCGTGTAAGGCCGGTTTTCAACTAAAATCCTCGGTTTCGTCACAAAAAGTCATATTCGGAGCCGAAGTGCCGCCTAAATTAATATCTTAACCCCCGTTTATTTCAAGGTGAGTTCAATATATATGAACAATTGTATGTTATGTGTTATATGTGCTATGTGCTTTTATGTGTTATCATATCGTGTTATTATTTCCGCTATTTTGATAGCAAAGTTGTACCTTTGGCCATGAAGTGTATGACATAAGCATCACTTGGGTAAAGGTATGTAGCCTCTGGCTGTGTAGAGCATGTCTCGCAAGAGAATGACTTCTACCCCTATGACATTGGCAGAAGGTTAGATAGGGTTGAAAGCCTGAAATCTACCAAAATGTTTAAATCAGAAGGTGTACGTCTTTTGTGTCATTTGGGCCGAAGCGTTATTGATGTATATCAAGTATGAAAATTGTTATGTCTCAGTGATTGTATATCTTTGAATCAAATCATTGATTGATATGGAAAGCTTGTCGCATGATTCACATATGTCTTTGTTGTTCCTTGTTCCTCTTTGCTTCTACCATATTGAAGTATATATATAGCATAACGTTATATTGTATCTATATTTGAACTCACCAAGCGTCACCGCTTACCCTCTCAATGTTTAACAATTCCAGAAGATAATCAATCAGTATAGTTATATACTGATAGAAGATTTTGAATAGTTTGAAACTATTGTATTTTGCACTCATGTATGTATAAAACTGTAGTATCCTAGGTAGTTATGTAATATACAACACTTTATAATAGTTGGTTTGTATCCAGTCGTTTGTAAACAAAATTATCAATGTAAATTATTATATGTGAATATGAATGTAGCATGTTTTGGAGTAATAATGTTTTAATTATGAAAGCGAAGGTCTTTCATTCAATGTTAAGGAAATCATAATTAGAAGATTGATGATGTGTCATGGAACCGAAAGGAAAGACAGATTCATTGAATATAACTTGACCGGAAATGATTATTTCTTTAGTGTAGATGTTGAGACACCGATACCATTTGTGATTGCAAAGGTTGTCGAGGAAGATGCAAAGAACAGATTGGGGTTGAAGTTTGTTGGTGTTATTAAGATGGCGATAACATAGAGAACCGAAAACACGAAGGTGAGAGTATGAGGGGTGTTTGATGAAGAGTTTGTTAAAGGGGGTGTCATGTTGGAGAGTAGGAAATTGGATAATATTTAAGAGGTGAGCGACCATGTGTAGGGCTTCTACCCAATAAGTGGGTGAAAGGTGAGCTTGAAACAAAAGAGTTCGAATGGTGTTGTTTAGAGTACAAAGCATACGTTCAGATTTACCATTTTGTTGGGACGTGTATGGGCAAGAGAAACGCATGTGAATACCATTAGTGTCACAAAGATGATGAAATTGTTTGTTATCGAGCCATTATCGCATTGGAAAATTTTGATATCGGATTTGAATTGGTTATGAACATAATCATGAAAATGGAGAAATTTAGAAAAAAAAACATCAGATTTATTTCGCAATGGATATATCCACACAAAATGAGAATATTGATCTAGAAAGATAACATAATATTTTATTCCAATATGGCTCATGATTGGTGATGTCCAAACATCATAATGAATGACATGAAAAGGAAAAGTAGCAGCAGTTTCAGACAAATTAAATGACAAACAGACATGCTTGCCAAGTTGACATGCATGACATAAGATACTAGGATCTTTTGATTACACGGGATAAATTTTTTGGATAATAAATAATGGAGGACTTGAGAGCCTGGGTGACCAATATGTTGATGTCACGCGGATGAACTAACACCCATAAATGCTTGAGGGAGTTGTTTTGTGAAGGAATAAAGCTCGCCCGTGCTGTCACATCGGATGAGAATTTGTTTGGTGAGGTAGTCTTTCACAGAAAACCCAAATTCGTCAAACTCAATAGAACATTTATTGTCATGAGTGAGTTTTTGAACGTAAATAAGATTTTTAATAATTTGAGGGTAATAAGGACATTTTTAAGACATAAGGGACGAACCCGGTGTTGAGAATTAGAAGTGTTACCAACATGAGTAACCGGAATACAAGATCCATCACCTACTATAACTGAAAAATTATTGAAATTATTTTTAATGGAATTTAGAATACCCGAGTCGACATGAAGGTGAGCAGTTGCCCCGACATCTATGTACCAATTTGTGGTGTCGAGATCCTGAAGATTCATAGTGATGAAAGATTGATGAAGAGTTGTGGGTTGATCCGCATAAAATTGGGCCTGTTTCCAATTAAAAGGCTAAAGTTGTTGAGGTCCAGCAAGAAAAGACTGATGGGCTAACTGCTGATTGGGCCAAGTTGGTTGCTGGCGAGAAGGGGACTGAGAAGTACTGGGCCATCTCATCTGATTTGGAGGAGGAAGCAACCCACAAATTCTTTATCAATTAGGATAAAAACCTAGCGACCGCTAGGGTTGTTTGCTGTTGGCAGGAAGGAAGACACACCACCATTATTTCGGTGGCTATTTCGCCCTCTGCCACTGTTTCTCCCCCTATCACCTCCCCGATTCCGAACACCATGGGAATTTCCAGAAAAAGAAGATTAAGGCTGCTGATGAACATTCAAAACTTGAAGAGAAGATGAAGAATCCGTGTGAGAGGCTTGAGGTATACGGTGCTGTTGAGTTTGCAATGTTTCTTCTATCAAGAGCATAGAACGCATCTATAGGAGAGTAGGAAACAGATTTTTGTGGAAAATTGTAGTAGTAATGTGATCAAACTTTGATGACAGACCATTGAGGGCCTAGGTGACTAGCGTGCGTTCCGAAACTTTAGAGCCAATATTGGCTAGAAGATCTGATATGGTTTTGATACGAGTGTAGTATTCCATGACAGTGGAATCACCGATAGTAATGTTTCTGAGTTGATTCTCGAGTTCAATTGCATTGGCTTCTTTGTTGTCATGGAAAAGATCTTCGATGACTTTCCACAGTTGAGCGGCTATTGCATCAGGTATCAAAATGGTTTGAATGAGAGGTTGGGAGAGAGTGCCGAACAACCATTGTTTGATGATTGAATCAGCAGTACACCAATCCTGATTAGTTGGTTTGTGATTTGTGCCATCAAGGTGACCGAAGACCTTATATGCAATACAATGGTTCTTAAAAAATTCACGCCAAGCATCATAGTTTAGCTTGTCAAGATCCAGAATTAGCGGAACATAGGTTTGATGTTGGTGATTCCATACATTTTATCAAGTGAGGTGGTCATTGAAGAGAAGAATTAAGAGAGAAAGTAAGAGATGAGAAGAAGATATTGACAAAGAGAAGTTGACTGTAAAAGAGGGGATCGATAATAGGAAGAAAGAGACAATGGTAGATTATTGGCGTGATACCATGTTGACAAATAATTTTCTCATAACATTCAATATAGCATTCCACCAATATATAATACAAACCATGGTAAAAGCTATTATTATGGGCAAAATATGGAAGGACCACACAAATACCAAAAATACAAAGATAATTTAAAATATAAAGCTATTGGCCAAAGGGTGTTTCAAAACCATGCCATCCGCCAGCTAAAATGCTAAACCTCCAATCCACTTACCCTAAGTTATGGTTACTTGGTTGCCCACTTTCAATTTTAATAATTATTGTGATCAATATTATAATTGGTTAATCAAGGTAAAAATATAAATTCGAATCCCAATAAAAAAATAAATATATAAGTTATATTTTTAAAGGTGATATAGTAAAATTATTATACGATGCATGAACTTTTTCTTAAACACTATTTCATGCAGCAAGATTCGAATTAATAGTTTTCCTGTTTAAAACGAAAACTATAAGCTTGCGTTCCCAACATCTTTTCTTTTATTTGATTCTTTTTTAAAATTTAAAAGTTTCTTAAAATTCTAAAAAAATTGCCGCCAACAAACCCTAATTTGTATTAGATCTATTTTAAATTTGAAATAATAAAACATAATCTATATTTTACAATGGAAACAAAATTATATATAGATATACTTTTTACTATTTTATCATTGTTATGCCAAAAGGCACTTTAATACCATCCATTATTTTGTTAAAGCACACCGTGTCCGTAACAAAAGAGAAAACCGTCAACTCGAAGAAACCAAAAGTCCAAAACAAAATACGGCCAATGGGTCCGTATCACGTCTCACCGCTTTCCGTTTAAACTTCTTTTCGTCTTATTATCCGATTCCCCGCCTCACTCACTCACTCAACTCAATACTTTCTAGAAGCATTCCACACCCTTTATTTATTTAACCTCCATTACTTCATTCTCACACATACTCACATACTCCATATCTCCTTTTTCAATTTCACTCCTAATTCATGGACCTCATACCAGGTCTCCCCAATGATGTCGGTTTAGAGTGTCTGATTCGCGTCCCTTACAACCACTTCTCCTCCGCCGCCTCCGTTTGCCGGAGCTGGAAGTCGGAGATTGACCTTCCTCTGTTTCGGAACCACCGCAAGTCCGCCGGGATGAGCCGTCGCATCGTCGTGATGGTGCAGTCGCGGCTTGATTCGAACATGAACCACGGGTTACGGAAGTATATAACTACACCGGTTTACCGTCTCTCCGTTTACGAGCCGGAAACGGGTGACTGGGAGTGAGCTGCCGCCGATCCCTGGGTTTTCCGACGGGTTACCTTATTTTTGTCAGGTTGCTCCGGTCGGGTATAATCTTGTGGTGATGGGCGGGGTTAAGCCCGGGGAACTGGGAGGCTTCGAATTTTGTTTTTGTGTATAACTTCGTCTCCACCACGTGGCGACGTGGGCCCGATATGCCAGGGAGTACAAGGTCGTTTTTTGGATGTGCGTCGGATAATGACCGGAGAGTGTTCGTCGGCGGCGGACATGATAACGAAAAGAATGCACTCCGGTCAGGGATGATGTATGACGTGGCGGACGATATATGGGTCATACTACCTGACATGGCAGACGAGCGTGACGAATGCAAAGGAGCTTTCCACCGTGGCAAATTCTACGTCATTGGTGGGTACAACACATCAATGCAAGGGAACTTTGGGACAAGCGCAGAAGCTTTCGATGTTTCCACGTGGCGATGGGAAAAAAAAGAAGATGAGTTCTTGGGAACTGACACGTGTCCGAGAACATGCGTGGACGGTGGTGATGATGTGATGTACATGTATCAAGATGGTGTGATCGTAGCACTGGATCATTCCTTTAAAACGAGGATCCCAAAGGATCTGGATAGAGTACATTGTGTAATCGGATGTGAAGGAAGGTTATTAGCCGTTGGATCTGTTGGATTTGGTAAAAGTCATGGGGTGTACGTGTTAGATCTGAAGAGCCACACGTGGAAAAAGGTGGAGACGCCGGAGGAATATTCCGGCCACGTTCAGTCCGGTTGTTGTTTGGAAATATAAAAAAATGTACAGAAACTATATATATAAATATTAATAGTTCAAATTTTGTTTTTTGAACATAACATAACTTTTTTGATTAAAGAATACGAATAAATATAAATAGTTTTGGATTTTGCTCATTGTTTCTGTCATTTCAGTGAAAATCATGAGAAACAGTGGGCAAAGTTTATTTTATTCTCATGGTGTTGTATAGAACTTCCCAAAAGATCTTGTACATGTGCTTTTTCAAGTACATGTTTTGAACTTTTTGTCTTCCTTGGAGTCCCATACGCTGTCGTTCTGATGGGTTTTTTAGTAAATATTGAAGGTTTTTGGAAAGAATACTTGTTCCTTGATGCCCAATTGGATGTAAAAGACCCGTTACGTTTTGTTCCACAATCTCTTTCGTGCCCCCTGAATCTGTCCCAAGCACCTAATCAAAACACACAAATTGTATAATTATAATTAGATATATAAAACTATAAAAGTCTAATTTTTTTTTACTAATTTAGAGTGACTTACTGGAATACCAAATGCCATTGCTTCAATTGTTACTCTTCCAAATGTTTCTCCAATCCCCTGTGCTTATCCTTATTCAGTCAATCGTATTTCATGTTTATTAAGTCAAAACTTTATAAGCAAAAAGTAAAGGTATAATTGTCACCTGAGAATTTATAACATAGACATCTGCTGCAGAGTAAAGAGAGGCAACACGTGTTGTTGCTGGGGTCCATAACACGGATTTTTCCAAATCCGAATGATTCGATAAGAACTTAAGGAGTGATTTTACGTAAAACACCTTATTGCTCTTTGACCCAACTGAACCAATTAAGAGCTTAATCTCTCCCCCCTGTTTTTTTTCCTCACTTCCTCTCAACATTTTCTTTAAACTTTCACCATGGTCAACCAATCCTCTTTGACTTTTATCAACTGTCAACTCTAAAGATTCAAGAAGCAAAAAATGACCCTTCCCAGGGTTTATACTGCTCAATGCCATCACAAGCATATCACTATCTTTGACTCCCATTTCTTCTCTGATTATTTTTCTTAACATCAATCTTTTTTCCAGCATCTTTTCAGCGGTGAATGCAGGGGTATTTAGGGAACAATTTATTCCAGCTACAAAAGCTAGCTCATCGTTAACCGAGAGTGGAACCAAAGAGGGTGGTGACTTGAATTCGATATTTTCTTCTTTACACCAATCCATCCATTGTTTAGATTGTGATTCAGAAAGGAAAACCAATTGTTTTACACGGTTTAGAACAAGCTTTGACCGGTCAAAATACTCGCGTCGATTCTCCATGATCCACCACACAAGCTGACGTGTCCCAGCCACAGAGTGATCAAGATATTGCTCTGTCATCATCACTCTAATTGTCATAAAAACTTAAAACACAAAGTTTATAAAAAAATTACAAAAGGTTCTTAGATCTCAGACTGTGTTTGACACACCACAGCTAGCTGATAAACTAGTTTATTTTTCGAGGTTTTTTAACTTGTCATGTTTGACAAACCAAAAAATAGCTTATAAGCCAGTTAATTTTTTTTTTTTAAAAGATACTTAGACTAGCTTTTCTGGAGCTTTTTTAAAATATTCCAAATATACCTTTAATTAATTATAGAAAACTCGTTATCCTAAATGTCCTTATATGCCATTTTATATATTTCAGCTAGTTTTAATTTTTTACCAAATGTCATTTTTTATCAGCTAGCTTTTCAGTTATCAGCTAGCTTTACAGCTAGTACGCCAAACATGGCCTTAGTTTCTTACCAATCCATGATGAGCATACAGCTGAACCTGCAATGACAAGATCTGCTTTCATGGCAGTTTTGAAGCTGACTTTATCTTTGTCTTCAAGAACCCTAATTTTTTTTCTTGCAAGTTCGGTTAGCAATCCACCTCTTCTGCTAAGAGCAACTACAGAAACAGTTGCTCCACAGCTTAAAAGCTCAGTTGCTAACTCCATCATTGAAAGTGGAGCTCCAGTCATTGATAGCTCATGGAATATCAAAACAAATTTTCTTGACCAAACAAGACGAGCAAATTGACTTTTCCTATCACACGTTCCTGATCGCTTTGTAGGACTCCATTCCAAAACTTTGTCTTCTATTGAACCAAATGGACCAAATAACATCCCATAAGTAGCATTTGTGTTAGGAAGTTGTTCTTCTTGAATTTCAAGATTCTTACTAATCTCAGTTTCCAAACCCTTTTTTTTTATTACCACGTTTAGAGCTACGCCTTGATCTTTTAGTTCGTTTCTTTATGGGTACAATTGTGTGTGACTTTGGTACACCATTAGATATGTTCTTGACCATATTATTTGTCTTCTTTACATCAGGCTGATTGACATTGATCACAACTTGATCTGTGAATGAGTGGTTACTCACACTCAAATCCCTCCTATGAACTTGTTCAGATTTGGTTTTATCAGTTTCATCATTTGAATCATTTCCCCCAAAGATCCCTTCTTTGTTGTCACCATGAGCCCACCTTGATTGGATATAGAATCCAGCATAAGCCCAAAGAGTGATCAGAAGCAACCAAAGCACAATTCGGTTGCTTTTGAAACGATTAGTACCAAATCCACCTGTTCTTCCATCTTTTCTAGGGGTTCGACTGGAGTTTAATCTTCTAAATGAAGGGGAACCTCTAGGTGTTGATTTACCTGATAATAATGACTTTGAGACTGGGCGTGATGATTGTCTCCCTGAGTTTCTTTGCACATCTATTCGATTGTATTCATCCATATTTCCTTTCAATTGATTTCAAGCAGCATAAGATCATACCACGTCATTTCTGAGACTATGAGAGTATATATCCAACATTCTTGATATTAGGGTTTAAGCAGAATAATGAGAGCTTCGAAAAAATCAATCCTAGAGTTGCATCCTGCACAATGTAATACACATTGTTTCAGGTTATTTGACACAAGAAAGAATCATCATCGTCATCAGAGTTGACTAGTGAAAATTCAGTAAATATGTTACAAGAAGGTGCATAATGAATACTTAGTTAACGTCGATCATAATTAGGGAAAAAATTATTGCAGATTCAATTCTTTGTAAACATACAGCCTATAAGTTATTAACTTCAGGATCACATTGTAGATTTGGAAATTCAGGGTCTCACACAAATTATAGATTCCTTTGTCTGCGCTTTTGTCGGTAAGTGAATTGGAGAGTTGACTGATAATCGCCTCGCTTTTGAATCTTGAAGAACAAACTCAATACATATAATATGCTACGAGAATTTACGATTCAATAAAGGAAACAGAAAATCAGTAATCACGAAGACTTACTAATTTGCTGAATGCCTTTGATTCAATTGTAACGGGCGTTGAAAATTTCGGATAGATCGAGGAAATGATCTCTGAAGCTGAGCAAGTAGATCTTCTCAGTTACTTCCTGTTTAATCTGCAAAATTTGACTTTTCTTATACGGATCGATGTATGAACAATGCCACTTCAATCATCTGGCAAATTTCTAGAGGCAGAAACCGGTGAAACAGTCAGTTTTCCGGTTTCTGGCAGCTCCCAACTTCGATCACCAGTGGTGAAAGCAGCAACAAGTGTGATTCTTTTCTCCCCTTTTTAAGCTTGTAAAGTAGTTAAAAAACACCAATCTGCTATGGAGTTTGTGTGTGTTTGAGAGTGAGGCAGATGTGTCTGAAACTGAGGAAAGAAGTCACACGTGCTGAGTACTCGTGTCGACGGAGTTTTGACGGAAGAAGAAAGGTAAATTTTTGAGGAATAATTTACAATGAAGTCCCTTTCAGTTGTTTAATTGTTATATATAGCCCTTGTTACTTTAAATCCAATATCCAAAAAAACCCTAAAGTTTTAAGTGTTCAACCAATTCATATTTGATTCATCAGAAAGATCATTTTCATGTTAAAAAAATGTAAACATATTTTAATAATGCAAATAAACATGTAATTTTTCTATTTAATGACATGATCTAAGTAGAGATTTCAGTTTAAAGCTCGAGAAACCCTAAAAAAAACTTCATAAATGTATTTTAATATCGAGGATCAAACACATCAGTAAGATAACGATCAAGAAAGATAGTAGGATAGTTCTAATTTACCTCTTTTAATTGGACTACAAGTTTACAACCAACTAAAAATAATTATACCTAAAAGCTCACCATCCATTTTAAGTTATTCTTATTTAAAATCAAGATTGTAAAAATCGTTCGACGTTAGCTAATCGGTGGACTGGGGTTAAGGGATTAATCGGCTAGGCAGAGATTAATCGGGAACAATTAATTGCTAATTTGTTAGATTTTAAGAAATTAAATATGACTAATATCATATAAAACTTTATAAATGCCACTAATATCTTAACAAAATAGGTTAATATGATAAATACAACAATAATCATACTTCAAATAGTTTTTATTGAGATATAAATTCTTCAAAGTATTAAAATTTCATCTGGTTCTACTGTTTCAGTCATTGTGTATGCATGGATTAATCGCTAGACGCTTTCTAATCGGTCGAGTAGTGCTTAGGGATTAATCGAAGATTAATCAGGACCTAATCGGGATTTTTACAACACTGTTTAAAATGAATCTCTTTTAAGCATTTTTATTAAAAAAAATTATGGCTTTGTCCCTAAATATATTAGTATAATCTACATAATGCTTGCATCTCCTTCGTATACTTTCTTGTTATGTTATTAGAATGAATGATGTATTGGAGGATTCAATTAGAACTTTGTCATCATCACCAGAAAACCATCATAATATTATGCAACGGTTAATTTTTGGGCATTTTGTATCAATCTAAACAACAATTTTGTCAATATTATCAGTACAATATCTAAAATATGAAAAAAAGACAAGAGAAATATATTTTTATTAATAATCAAATTATAGATATTTAAAATATAGTTGTTATTAATATCTCTCATAAGCGAAGAAAATATAAGAAGTATATATATATATATATATATATATATATATATATATATATTATATATATATATATATATATATATATATATATATTGTGTTTCTTTTACATGTTTATTCTTAATTTTCACATAAACTATCATCTTTAATTTGGTTTACAAAAACTTTTGTTAAACTTGTTTTATCAAAGGATATTTGATTAGGGATGAACATTTGGACTGGGGAACTGGTCGGAATCAGTACCGAAACCGAAACCGGATAGAACCAATCAGGATGGGATCGGGACGATAATTTTGTGGATTTTTGGAACCGGTAGGAACAGGAATCAGTAGAACCGGAACCGGTGGAACCGGCAAAAACCAATAGAACCGACAAAAACCGGAACCGTATGTTGCTATTTCCTGAGGACCGGTTCCAACATTGAAGACATGGCAAGAACTGGGAACTGGTAGAACCGGCGGTCCGATTCGTTTCTTAATTTCGGACGACTTCGGTTCCCGGACCAGGTCCGGTTCAGGCCGGTTCCAACCAGATCGGTTCCTTTGCTTATCCCTATATTAGATCAATAATAGTTAAACATACCAACTAAAATATTTCGTTTTTTCAAGTGTTCATTAGGTGTTAATAAAAAATATTATGAGCCAAGATATACGAATGACCGAGTATATAGAATTTTGTTTTCATAGTTAGAGACTTTTAACATTAAACCAATAGTATGAGGATGAAATAGGAATAATGATAATAGGTGAGGGAGACGTTTTAATTTAGAAAGACGATGGGCCCACAAAAGAATCTAGTTGGTACTGTAGCAGTTTAATTTTGAAAGTAGTACACGTTGACTAAGGCAAGTTTAATGCAGTGTTTATTGTTCGATGAATTTGATTTGTTTATTGGAATATTTTTTAAACGCTAACGTTCTTCACAAGCTGGCGAAAACCCACTAGATGTAACATAATTACATAAACATGAAGGTTCTAAATGAAATAAAGATATTGATGTTTACAAAGTTGTTTAGTCGACCCTGCTTTGTTATTATGAAGCAATGAAAATGAGGCTAACACATTAGAACTACAGAATATTGAAAGATAGGATGTAGAAAAATAATAAATATTTAATAGTAATTAGAGTTTTCAGATTGAGTGTGAATCTCTCTTTAGCCAAGCTTGGGTCTTCAAGAAGAAGACACATCTAGCCTTGTGTATATATTGGTGATTCAAGAAATTTTGTTATAGGGGTGTAGTGATTACCGATTAACTATAAATAGTCAATGTGGTCTAAAATTGGATAAGTCTAATTAAAATGGTTTAACTTGTTCCTAAATTAAGCTAAAAGCAACAAGAAAGTGTTCGGATCATTGACAAGATAAAAGTGAAAAACTAATAATGATTATATATATATAATATATAATATAATATATATATATATATATTATATATATATATATATATATATATATATATATATATATATATATATAGGAGTGGTTCAAATGAGAACCATAAAAGATTAAGAACCTAAGAACTTCATTAGTTAATAAATATTTATATGATATTCTTGTTAAACATGTAAAAATCTTTTTTTATCTCTCTTTTCGATACAAAAAGAGCAAAATTGTAATTTTTGCAGTATAATATTTCCATTATTATATGTTCTCATATTTGACTTGGTAAGGCATGTGAAAGATATGGTGGGTAACCTATTGACCCATGTTCAAATCCTGGCACTACTAAGTCCTTGTGGCCATGGAGGTTCGCCTGCAGTTACTACAGGGCATGAGGCAAAGCCTCATGTTTGCAGCGAGGATTAGTCGGTGCGCGAAAGCTGGCCCGGAAACTCTCGTTAGGGAAGTTCCCTTTCCAAAAAAAACTTATATAAATTACAAGTTTATACAGTCCATTCGTAATTTATTTCACAAAATTCACAATTTAATACAAACCATTTTATACTAATTCACAAACTTAAAAAAATCAAAATTTCAAACCCTACTACCACCACCACCACATGCTGCCACCAACCACCTATACCAGCATCGCAACAATTATTTTCTTTTAAATTAGATCTGTAAACAAAGTCATGCATTAATAACATAAATACTACATTCACGGTCTAATAAAACCATTTATTTCACTCATTTTGAATTTAATGCAAAATTATTATTAAAACTAATGTATTCTTATATACTTATACAACGCAACAAATAAATATATTCAGAAAAAAATTAACAAAAAAATTTATACATAAATCATTCATATTTTAAATTGTGAATTTAATATATTAAGTCGTGAATAAAATTTACATTATTTCAAAAGCAAAAAAAATTATAAAATAATCACAGCTTAATGTCAATTCATTCACAACTTTATACAATCAACTCATAATTTAATACACAAAATTTACAGCTTAATATAGTCAATTCATAGTCTAGGAAGAAAATATACAGTTTCATGCAGTAAATTCACAGTTTAAAACACAAAAGTCATAGTTTAATACACAAAATTCAAAGTTTAATACACAAAAAGTATGCATCCATAACCATATTTTAAGCTTAACATTCTTTATATAGTCAATACAAAGTTTATACACAAAATTCATAGCTTAATACAAGTAACTTCATAGTTTCATACACATAATTCACAACTTAATCTAGTCAATTTACAGTTCAAACAGAAAATTCACAGCTTAATACAGTCAATTCGTAGTTTAAACAGAAAATTCAAAGCTTAATGTAATCAATTCACAGTTTAAAACACAAAAATGACAACTTAGTAGACTAAATTCACATTTTAATACACAAAAAGTAGTATTCACATCCATATTATCAAGTTAAAACACTTATTACAATTAATACACAATTTAATATATAAATTTCACAAACTAGTATAACAAATTTAAAGTTTAGTTCAAATAAAATTATACATTCACAAGTTAATAGCAGTTAAAACTAAGATTAACAAAATTATATGACAAATGAGAGATTAAAATATTAAATTCACACATTAACAGAAAAAAAAAATATAATAGAGATCTACAACAAATGCAAGTAGAAAAACATAATATCAACTTAAAACTTTTAATTCATAGTTAAATATAGAAAATTCACTGTTTAATACCCAAAAAAATATGCATTCAAAAGCATATTTTCAACTAAAGAATTTAATACAATCAATTCATAGTTTAATACAATTAATTCATAGTTAAATATACAAAACTCACAGTTTAATATAGTCAATTTACAATTTAAACAACAAATTCACAGCTTAATACATTCAATTCGCAATTTTAAACACATATCACAGCTAAATACACAAACTTCATACTTAAATATACAAAAAATATGCATTCACAACTTAATTCACAACTTAATAACTTACCAAATTTCATTGAGGCATTTCATCAAACACCTTGTGTGCATCTTTTTTTTTTTTTTTCAGAACTTCCTTTCGTAAACACCATCAATGTAAACACCATACACACACCAGATCTAACCTGAAAATAGACAAAAACATCAGATCAGATGTCGATTTGGTGGTGTTTTGACCAAAAATAAGAGAGACAAAGACGAAAATGAGTTATACATGGGAAAGAGGTGACACATAACAGATCTGGTACAAATTTGACAAATATTTTCGCCGGTGATAGAACATTTCAGAGAAAAAAATAAGTTCAAGAGTTCTGGAACAAAACATTTGTATAATAACACCAAATTCTTAGATCTACATCAGATCTGAATTTATCTAGAGGTGGTCGGACATCTGGAGGCGGCGCTCGGTGTTGATGGCAAATCTAAAGTTGGGGGTTGTAGATATGAAGGCGAATGCACCAGATCTGAAGGTAAATGATTCAGATCTGAAGGCGGCGGCTCCGAATCTGAAGATTGTTGTATTCCGGCGACGACGACGGTGTCGGCGTAGGCGGTGGTGGTTGGCAGCGGTAGAAGGTAAAGAGAGAGAGAGAGAGAGAGAGAGAGAGAGAGAGAGAGAGAGAGAGAACAAATCCAAGTCTAGATCTAATTTTGAATATAACGAGTATTATGTAAAAAGTGGGTTAAATTTAATTAGTTGGTTCTTAGGTTTTTAATCTTTTATGGTTTTCATTTGAACCTTTATATATATATATATATATATATATATATATATATATATATATATATATATATATATATATATATATAATAGGGTTAGGTTCATGTGAGACGACCTAATTTTGTGAGACCGTGAGACGCATTTTTTTATTTTTTTTATTTTTTTAATTTTTTTAGTTAATTCAAGTTCCGAAAATAATAGTTAAAAATAGAATTTTTTGATTTTTCTATTTATTTTTCATTTTAAAATTATTTTTATAATATATCAGTGTAATATACTATTTAGAATATTTCACGTATTTTTCAAAAAAAAAGGGATTTTTTTTATTTTTTTTAAATTTTTTTTTAGTTAATTCAAGTTCCAAAAATAATATTTAAAAAAAGAATTTTTGGATTTTTCCATTTATTTTGCATTTTAAAATTATTTTTAGATTTGGTCTCACGGTCTCACAAAATTAGAATGGTCTCACATGAACCTGATATATATATATATATATATATATATATATATATATATATATATATATATATATATATATATATATATATATATATAAAGATTTTTGTATATTTTTCTCTTTAAGCTATTCGTTAAAATATTAAAAAAGGGGCCAATATATAGTGATTATTATCTTTTCAATCAGTTGGAGATTTTTTTTTAAATGGCTAACGCATATATCCATTAACTGTATTTTAAAATCTATTCATTTATCAGCAACGGAATTTGAATCCTTTAAAATGGGACAAATTTCCACCACACATGATAATAACGAGCTACAAGCTTTTAGAGAATGATTGAATTCCCTCCCACGGAGTTATTTTCTTATATTTTTTCCATAGTTATTAGACAATCGTTCATTTTAAATGGTTGTTAGAAGATATATATATATATATATATATATATATATATATATATATATATATATATATATATATTATTATATATATATATATTATATATATATATATACTAGTCGATTATCCACGCAAAGCGGCGACGACGAATAGTTTTTTTCGGCAATCAAATTCATTCGGAAACATGTTAAAAATAATAGAATTTATTGGCAAGTATCAATAAACATTAGTTTCAATTCAACGATTCATTTTCTTTTTGATAAATAATGTTTAATAGATTCATCGTTTTTGTGTATGTTGGATAGATGTTTTCATATATTAGATTCATTGTGTTGAAAATAAATCATTTCTAATTTATTACAACGTATCGCTCACAAGCACCATCTCTTTTTCTTGTTACAACCTCTTTCGACATACTATTTTTGGATTGAGATAAAAATAATTAAAATAAAAGTTTGTTAATGCTTTGAACTAAAAATAGAAGCCTGTCTGTATTTTTAGGTTAAAAATAATAGTAAGTTGTTTGTGTTACAAAAAAAAAAAAAATTAGAATAAAAATAAAAATACATTTATATTTTGAGTTACTGTTATCTTTAAAATAAAACATTGCATATGACCGACCATTGATTTCAAACAATAATTTTAAAAAGTAATGTTTTTTATGGATTATCCCTTCTTAACCATGGATCCGTCAATTTCGTCCATGTTAGTATTTATTCTTTTTTTTTTTTTTTTTTTTCAAAATTTTTTTTTTTGTTACTTATAAATAGAATCTTCAATAAAGTATCAATATTTTGGGTAACATTTCGGTTTTGTCCAAATTTTTATTTTTTGAATAGAAAAATCCAGATTATTTTATATTTTGCCTTTTTTTTTTTTTTTTTTTTTTTTTGCAAAAAACGAATTAAGTGTTATTTTTTTTACCCAAATTAACGGAACATCTTTTGTTTTTTCAATAGAAAACGACATGTTATCATATAAAATTAGATAATCATGATTTTTTGTTCAAAAATTAAAATTGGGATTAAAATGTAAATTTATCCAAAATATTAGAAGTTTATGGGAGATTTTCATATTTTATATTAATACGTAATATTAGTTAAACTTGACCTATGCATCCATGGATGGGAGGGTTGCTTTGTACTTGACATATACTTTTTATTTGAGTTTTTATTTATTTTTTATTTAAAATTTTTTAAATTATATTATTTATCTAATTATATTCTAAAAAACATAAATTATAAAGTATTACATAAAGTTCTTAGAAAATCAAATGGAACTAAACATGGATGAAATGTAGTTAAAAGGATTATTCCAATATCATAAAGCATAAATAATTTATAAATAATTTTTATGATAGATAAAATTAAATTAAAAATCTTCAAAAGTAATTAACAAAGGAAACACCGAAGAATTAAGCATTAAAATCTTATACACTATCAACGTTTTTTCATAACTCATCTAAAAATCAATAAAAATAATAAAATTATGATAATATATAGATTAAATGCATTACTTTTCAGATTCCTTTTTAAAATCTCATATATTTTTCATAGCAACCAATATATTCAAGTAACAACACAATTTGATGCACAACCACATTTCCTAATCAGTTTCTCACATTATCATCTATTCATTCATCTACATTCAAGTAGAGATGGAAGCAACATACATGTTTATTGCATCCAAACTCACTGCCATAAATAACCACTCAAGCTGTTGTAATCCTCTGTCAAATAAAAAGTATAATATGGGTTATTGTTTTGACTTAATGAACTTGATGCTAGAGGATTGGGTTCTAAATTCCTTTAAATTAGCTTCTTTAACATCCTCTTGTTCAAATCAAGGGTTCATCTAGTTAAGTTTGATCAAACACTTCATTTACCGACATCATCTACAAACTTGTTAGCCAACCGACAAAAAAAAAAGAGAAAGTCAAATTTATATATTTTCGCTATTTATATTACTAACTAAAGTTGTCACCTCACCATCACATGAAGCTTTATTTTTTTGCATGAAATATAAAAAATTAAAGGAATAAAAACAAAATCAATACATGTAATTGATGGGGTATTATTTAGGGTTTTGTTACATAATAAAGCCTTACCTACAAGTAAGGCATGTGGTATTGTATGATGACATCTTTCAGCCTTGAGTGAAGCACAATGATGCTTAAAATCATGAGGCTATACTCATAGTTTTATAGTACAAGATAACTCACCAGCAACAGTAGCACAAAATGATGCAGTAATTTGAGACTATATTTGGCTAATGATAGGAAAAGAATCAAACCTCTGATTTAATCATTATTTATCACAACATTTTGCCTATATTGTGATGCAGAAGACGTGTAAGCAACAACACTTGAAGAAAGATCTTACTAAGTTGTATATATATCATATGATACAACTAACAAAGATTCTACAACCTCCTAAATTCACCATCAGGTAGATGAGACAAAACAAAAGAGCTCCATGGAAGAGGTCATTAAAACAAAACCATTAAAAGGAAACTTAGAAAAGGGATTGTGTGGAAAGCATGTTGAAATTAGATGTTGAAAGGCATGATATTTACATTTTCCACGGTTTAAATGGGTACATTTTCGAAGTAGAATGGCACAATAAGAAAAATATTCAAAATACAATGCATAAATTGGTTAATTATCAGAAAATACAATACAGTAATCACCTATGATACATTTTTTAGTTGACTTACAAAAGCACCAAGGAGCTAAGTTCTAGTTTCATTTAGTTAGATGAGAACATCTAAAATCAATTATATATCCTTTTTCCTGGTAACACATTTTCAAGGACTGAGATCGTTAACTGAGTGTAAAAATGGGAAATATATCATTTACATACATTTAAGAACCAAAATAAAGTACTCGCAACAAAATTAGAAGAGTTACTGAGAAGATATCATCGGTCAAGTGCTCTCAAAGTGCTTTTATTCTCCAATAGTTCATGAATATTTGTCTCATGCAAGGTGAATAAAAAATTATGTCTAATAAACAACGCCATCAGGAACCACTGATGTTTGCTTAAACAGGGGAAGTGCAAAAGCTTGGGAAATTGGAAAACACCAAATATAACAATGTTAAATAGGTTCCATGCCCGTAAAATAGTACCAAACTAATTCGACATATGAAAATGGAAGGTTTCTTGGATCTTTGAGATGGGACCACACCATATAATCATCATAAACACACGATCCTATGGAAAAAAAGTGTAAAAGTAAAAAATGAAGAGAGTTAACAGGATTGCTAATTTTAGTTTTTCACCATTTTTAACCCACTTCTCACCTACACAATAAAAAATTAATAAAATTATAATACAGTAGTCCAAATACTACAATTATGGAACATATAAAAAAGAAAGCATGACACAAAACTTGGTGAAATAAAAGTATAAGAGATTTAGGTCTAACCAAAAATGCATAGCTCCACAAATTAGCCATTTCCTTCATTGTTGAAGGCCCATCTAAAGAGAAAGAGAGGAGGATATGAAATCAAGATTTCAAAAATGTAATATATGTTTGAGGGTATGAAATCTAATTTC